GCCATTATTTGGCTCCCCGTGGCTCTCGCGGCTGACCTCCTCCAGCTAGTGATCGGTCGCGTCCCGCGCATGCCTGCCCAATCAGTCCCCTTCTGCGCGGCTTTGGTTCATATTTCTCAGTGCTGCTGCCTTCGTCCTGTATGGAACGCGGATGGGTGCAGCAGCAGCAGCGGCGTGTTTGCAGTTCTCCCATGAGTTCTTAGGTTCGCTTGATGTAGCTGCTGCGCATATCCAAGTTCGTTTCGAAGTTGCCAGCTTACTCCAAAGCTGGATACACAGCAGTTGGGTATACGTGCTCAGTAGCCTCTTGTTTGTGTGTCGATTTGCCCTAGTATTAGGGCGCGTGGTCATCTGTCTTCCATGCTCTCCCATATCGTTACTATGCTTGATCATCCTTGGCCTGCTTAGGCCCAGGAGGGTTCGTTGGCGGAGGACGTAATGCCCGTGGCGGACACCGCCAACCGTTCCAACGCGGTAGAGAACCAGGCCGACGGAAAGGGGTCTGGGGTGAGGAAGGGGTCGGAAGGGGCAGGAAGTGCCGAAGCGTCATCTTTTTCCTCTTTCCTTCTCTCATCCCGTTCATCATAGAAAGTCGTGCTCAGCGCCAGAAGCAGCAAGAAGCAGCAGCAGGAGGAGGAGGAGGTGGAGGCGGAGGAGGAGGAGGAGGACAATTCGCGCGCTCGGAGCAAGCTCCCCGCCGACGCCCCCTGCCGCTCGATGCGCGTTGTCTACGAGCGGGGATGCTTCTCGGGGTGATTTTCGGGATTTTTCCGGATTGCGCCGCCCCTGTATTTCAGCGCCTGGCTCAAGTGGCACCTGCGTGGCATGCCTCTCTGGGGGCGTCTTGGAAGCCTCTTGGCGGCATTTTTGAGCCTCTTGGAACCGCTGACGGTTTTTCCGGGGGCTTCTCGAGAACCTCTTGGACGCCCCAGGGCGCTCGCGACCTCGAGGGCCCCCTTGGTGGAGGGCGCGAGATTTCAGGCCGCGCCCCCGCTCGATGGGCCTTCTTTGGCCGTTGTGGGCGCCCCCCTGGGTCGCGTCGGGTCCCTCTTGGGTGCTTTTTTGGCCGTTGCGGGGCGATCTGAGGAGGCTATCTGGGCCATCTCGGCGCATCGAGAGCCCGGAGCAGCGAGAGTGCTCAGATTCTTCAAACACTCATCGAGATCGTAGACGGTTGCCTCCTGGGGCCCTCGCGGAAGCGCCCCTTGGATTTTCGCAGTGCCCTCGGGGGGGTTCTGAGGGAATCTTGAGGTCATTGGGCGTCTTGGGCCGGTCGTTCTGTGTGTCGGGGCTCAACTGGGCCGCTTCGCTTCTCGGGGGTTCCCTGGCCCCTTTTGGAGCGTCTTGGGCCCCTCTAGGACCCGAAAAACATCTTGTTGGGGGACTGGGGGGCGCCCGGGAGCGCCGGAATCCCGCGACGCGCGCTCCCGGCGCAGTCTTCAGGATTGAGGGCGCAGGACTGCATGGGACCAGAGGGCGCTCTATTCAGTGCCTGGCGGCGCTGGCGGACGCGCATTTTTTTTTCCTTTTCGGCGGAGGGGCGGAGGTGTTCTGCCGCGCGCGGGGGCTCGATTGTGCGCCCCTCCCAGGACTCGCAATAATATCGAAGGCAGCAGCGTGGAATGGATAGACGGAAAGTCTTTTCTGCAATGGCCCGGCAGAGAAACGCGGGGAACGCCCAGGGGCCGCTTGCAACGGCAACGACGGACAGTGAACATTTGGGACATGTTTATGATGGTATCGGATGGTGATTGCGGACATGATATATACAGATACACATGCATATATATATATATATATATATATATATGTACAAATACAAATACATATACATATGTATATGTAGATGCCTATACACAAACATATGCACCTATATACACATACGCATACACATTCATAAAACATATATATATATATATACATATATATACACATATACATATACATATACATATACATATACATATATATATACATATATATATATATGCATGCATATGCATATACATATGGGTATACGTATACGTACCGTATACATATGCAAATACATATGCATATACATGTACATAAACATATATATATATATATATACATATACATATACATATACGTATACGTATACAGATACGTATACATATACATATACATATACATATACATATACGTATACATGTACATATGCATACACATGTACATATACATATATATATGCATACACATATACAGATACATAGTTATATTTATATTTATATACATACATATACATGTACATATAAATACAGATACACACACATGCCTATACATGCACATATACATATACATATACATGTACATATGCATGTACATATACATATACATATACATATACATATACATATGCATACACATATATATAAGCATATACATTTGTGTATACATATACGTATACAGGCACGTATACATATATATATACAGACATAAAAACATACACATACATATGCATACAGACATACACAAATAGATACATGTATACATGCATACATACATGCATGCATGCGTGCGTACGTACACACAGACATACATTCGTGCATGCAAACATACATGCATGCATGCATGCATACGTACATGCATACAGGCATAAATGCATACATACATACATGCATGCATACATGCATATCAATATACACATGCATGCATATCTATATATATATATACACAGAGATATACATCCATTAACCCGTCCATCAATCAATCCATGTATCCATACATTCATACATGTACACCTACCTACCTATATACCTGCCTGCCTATCTACCTACCCACGTGAGTACATGTATACATTCATACATGCATGCATATATATACATACCTACATGCATACATTCAGACATGCATACAAGCATCCATGCATACATTGCATACATGCATACATGCATACATGCAGACATGCATACATGCATACATGCATACACACATGCATGCATACATACATGCATGGATGCATGCATACATGCGCACATGCATGTAATAATACGAGAGAGCGTGATCCACCGCCGCTTTACTGTGGGAAATTGCCGCCCTTTTCCTCCGGAACCCGGGGGTCCACCCCCCCTCCGCCCTCCGAAAATCCCCCCCCCCTGCTGGAACCCCCCCCCCCTTCCTCCGGCAAAACCCCCCCCTCCCCTAACCCCTCCCCCCCCCCCCCCCCCCCTCGAACTCGAAAACCGGGGGGGTCACTACCGGTTCGAACCCCCCCCCCCCCGAAAACCGGAGGGGGGGGTCACTACCGGTTCGAACCACTGAGCTGTCCCACTGTTCCCACCACTGTCCCCACTGTCCCCACCACTGTCCCCACTGTACCTCTGTCCCATTGTCCCACCGCCGTCCTCGCCACCGCCTTCACCACTGTCCCCACCACCACTGTACCCTCCACTGTCCTACTGTTTCCACCACATTCCCACTGTCCCCACACCACTGTCCCCCACCACCACCGTCCCCACCACTGTCCCACTGTCCCCACTGTTCCCACCATTGTCCTCACCATTGTCCCCACCACTACCGTCCCCACCACTGTCCCACTGTCCCCACCACTGTCCCGCTGTCCCCTCACCACTGTCCCCACCAGCACCGTCCCCACCACTGTCCGCACCCCCCCTCGGTTTTCGAGGGAGGGGGTGGGGGGTTCGAACCGGTAGTGACCCCCCCCGGTTTTCGAGTTCGAGGGGGGGGGGGTCGAACGGGTAGTGACCCCCCCCCCCCTTTTCATGATGAACTGGGGGGGGGGAAGGGTTCGAACCGGGAGTGACCCCCCCCGGTTTTCCGGAGGGAGGGGGGGGAAGGGGTTCGAACCGGTAGTGACCCCCCCTGGTTTTCCGCCAGCAGCGGTAGAACACGCTCTTTCAATCATACATACATACATGCATGCATGCATACAGTCATACGTACATACACACACGCTCATACATACGTACATGCCTGCATATGTGCATATACACATGGAAACGTACATGCATATACACATCTTTACATACAGACATGCATACATACATGCATGCATGCATGCATGCATGCATACATACACACATACATACATACATACATACATACATACATACATACATGCATGCATGCATGCATGCATGCATGCATGCATGCATGCATACATACATACATACATACATACATACATACATACATGGCATGCATGCATGCATGCATACATACATACATGCATGCATGCATGCACGCACGCACGCACGCACGCATGCATACAGTTATACTGACGCATATATATATATAATATATATATATATATATATATATAAGTAAAGCTGTCTCTACATAGTCAGTACAAACACCATTATCGATATAGAAAGATGTAGGGTACACGGCTGGATACAGCTTGATTTGTAGACGTGCCTCTCACTGAAAACGTCGTCGCTCTCAATGTTCAGAAGTGTGGTAATGTTGAGGTGTGGGGCAGCTACACGAACAGATAGCGGCTCTTTTTCAAACTGAGCCTCGATGGGCACTCCCTTGAACTTCATAACCTTACCCCGTAGTTATTCTTGTTGGTACGGGAATTGGGGGTGGTTAGTGTTCGGAACGGGGCTCTGACTTGAACGGCTGGCCAGTTAGGCTCTTGTCTTTCAAGACGAGAACTTCCCGTAGTGAAAAAGACTGCTTGCAGGGAGCTCTGATGAGGGGATTCAGGACGGCAGTGTTTACTGCAGCATCGTTTTTGCACCAGGTTTACTCTTCTCCTTCTCCTTGTCCTCCTCGTCCCTCTCTTCCCTCCTTCCTCCCCTCGCCCTTCACCGGCTGCACGCAAGAGCGTCCCTGGACAAGCGTGACCTTCTGTGCGTGGAGGGGGGCGCGGGGGCAGGGGGGGGGGGGGGCAAATTCAAGCGCGGCAGCCAGTGCTGGGCCACTGCGTCCAAAAGTCGTTCTTTCGCGCAGCCGACTACAAAAAGAACATGAAACAAAAAAGCGTCCACGAGTACCGCGCGCGGGCGCGCCGCCTTCGACACCACGTCGAAGAGAAACGCCTCCCCTGTTCCCCGCGCGGCATCTCGAGCGCGCGCTCGGTCTGGGTTTGGGAAAATTCACAGGACGGGCACCCACTTGTGAAACCTACCCCTGCACGTAACATCCGTGAAACAACGACGGAACGTCAGAATCTGACAAGTACCGGCAGCCGAGTAAACCCCAGCTGGGGTGACCGGCGTCGAAGAGACCTGAAGCAGTAAGGCTCGCAAGTGTTATGGTTGCCACGACAATGGACACCCTAACAGTCCTAGCATTGAGTTTAACATGTGTTTAAAGTGCCAGAAAAAAATGTTTTATACATGTGTTCACATGTATAAAACATGTTCAACACAAGTTTTGGACGTCTGGAAATTATCTGGCAACATGCTTCCCATCCACTGATCGTCCTTAACAAAGCAAGTGGTCTCAGACAGGATGAGGGGGGAGGCAGCGTCTGAGCTCGAGCGAGGCCAACGAGAATAGCATGTGGAGAGCACTGTGGTATCCCCCTGAACATGACATTGGCACAGCACATCGTTGGGCGACGCACATGAGGGAGGAGAACGAGGAGGAGGATCGAGCACCGACGTTTTTGAGAGACCGTCCAGAAGACTGTGGATGGCCTCGAGGGGGGTTCCTGAGACCTCCGGAAGTCTGGGAGGCCTCCGGGAACCTCCAAGGACCCCAGGGGACCTCAGGGGGACTCATGGAAGGAGGAGGGCGAGGGAGAGGGAGAGGGCGAAGAGAAGCGAAGGCGCCAGGAGTCGGGCACGAAGGGTGTGCCCGTGCCTTTCTGGGCAGGGAGCGTGAGGCCGTGGCCTCACATCGTGTGCAAATAAAAATCGTGGACAAAATACTTCAGGCGCAACGGCACAAAGGAGGCAAGGAAAGAACGGAGGGGGAGAGGGGCAGAGGCGGAGGGGGGCATGCAAAAAGTCGCCACAACGGCTGATCCCCCCCAGAATAAGCTCTCCTTCTCCATGCGAGACTGGGTGATAAGGAGGTCCAGGCACTGCTCCAAGAC